ATGTTATTTTCAATATTGCTATCATCGCCATTATCATTACTAATATCATTATTACTGTTATTACTATTGTTATTATCATTGTATATATTTTTCTTGTTGTTCTTCTTCTTCTTTTTCTTCTTAATATTATTATTACTATTATTATTATTATTTTTACAATAGAGCCTGTATTTACGGTATACAATTTTTTTATACAGTGACTGAGCGTATGCTGGCGGTATACAAACATTTTTTAACTATGGCATTGTCTGTAGTTACGGTATACAAACATTTTTTAACTATGACATTGCCTATAGTGACGGTATACAAACATATTCTAAATGTGTAATGCCTGTAGTGACGGTATACAAACATATTCTAAATATGTATTGCCCGTAGTGACTGTAAATAAACATTTTCTATGACATTGCATGTAGTGACGGTATACCAACATTTTCTAACTATGACATTGCCTGTAGAGACGGAATACAAACATTATCTGAGGGGGAGCTCTCGCGGCTTAGAGATTTAAGGTCTTCGCCTCTCTTTCAAAGGTCCCGGATTCGAATCCGGGTAGGGACGGACACAATTTTCTTCTCTAAAACTGTCTCCTTTCACCTTCTTTCCTTCTCTATTCATATGATTTGTCGTCTGCTTTCGTCACCACTTTCTTCCCCCACTCACCTCCTTTGCCCCCTCCACTGGGCTCCTGATCCTTTCTGCTGCCTTTCTATTGCAACTCCTTGGCTCCTTCTTACAGCTGTCTTTCTGCCACGCTCCTGATCTTCTGGTAGGAAAGATCTACACCTGGCCTTCTCGGACTCGGGCAAAAAAAATCTCGGAGCGTCCCGGGGAAAGTTGAGTACGTTAAAGATCCAAAATCCAAAATCGATAAGAGTAGGATTCCGCCGTCATCCGAGCAAAATGCAAAATTTCGTACCAATTGAAAATGTTTTGTGTGCCCCGCGCGTTCATATGACCTTTTGCAGTTGCGAGCGCCGTAAAACATTTACCAAAGAAAAAATTCTAACTATGGCATTGCCTTAGTGACAGTATACAAACATTTTCTATGACGTTGCCTTTATTGACAGAATACAAACATTTTTTAAACTATGGCGTTGCCTGTATTGACAGAATACAAACATTTTTTAAACTATGGCGTTGCCTGTATTGACGGGATACAAACATTTTTTAAACTATGGCGTTGCCTGTATTGACGGGATACAAACATTTTTTAAACTATGGCGTTGCCTGTATTGACGGGATACAAACATTTTTTAAACTATGGCGTTGCCTGTATTGACGGGATACAAACATTTTTTAAACTATGGCGTTGCCTGTATTGACGGGATACAAACATTTTTTAAACTATGGCGTTGCCTGTATTAAACATTTTCTATGGTGCGGTCAAAAACTCATGGTGCAACATATTGTCAAATATCTCTTCAACTATCGAACGTAAACTCTCCAGCTTTAGCACAATGTATCAATTTGTATTAACAGATCAATATTTTTGTAAAGACCTGCTAGCTCTATTCTAGAAAATTCCTTAATAAATACAAATTTAAAAATCCTAGTAGGTGGTTTCTACTGATTTTAAAAGGTTTACAGCTGGGACGATATCGCTTTTAAAAGCAAGTCTGTTATTCTATTATATATTTGTGGAGGCCGAATGTTGCTATTCAAAAGACTTTTTAATGGCTGCATCGATCGACACGCGGTTTTCGCCAAAAGATTCTTTAAAATATTCTCCAGAGCATGACGCCCTTGGTTTTTTCAGTTTTGAGACAGTTTTCCTGCAAAAAGCTAAATTTCTTTATTTCGCCGATCGCTTTTGTGGGCCGACGCTTCTGTCTCTGTAATTTTAGAAAATCTGGAAGTGATATTTGGCGAGGCGCATTTTGCTCTCAGTGTATAGATCTAGACCTTATAATTTTTTGCATCTCTCAAGATTTATTGCCCCGTTCCAGTAGAGTGTAATATAGTAGGCCAATGACTTTTAGTTGATATTAAAGCACCGATCATTCCTTTTATCGAAATGGGACCCAGCTAGTTTTTTTTTCTAATCGTGAGATTATCTTTATTGAACGCATTTTTTTAAGAACGTTTAGTGCTGAAAAGTGTTCACTATAAAACTAATTTCTTGAAACAAGTTTTGCCTCTTAAAAGTATCATTGGTGATCTGTAACGTAACCCATATGCGTATGAAAAATGTGGGTGGGAAGCGGGAAGTGCTGTGAACAATTCCATTTTCTGCGTGAAGGAGATCTGCAGTATTTTATGTAAATTTATGAAGAAAAGTTTTTTAAATCTAGCCTCAAATGTTGTGGGAAAATATGATTAAGTTAAGACAAATTGAGACAAACTTCTGTGAAAAGTATGGTTGGCATTGATTCACCCGTTAAAAAGATATATGAGGATAAGTTGCGCCACGAATTTTTGACCGCACTATAACTATGTCTTTGCATGTAGTGACAGTGTTCAAACATTTTCTAATATATTGCCTGTAGTAACGGTGTACACACATTTTCTATGATATTGCCTGTAGTGACGGTTTTCTAACTATGACACTGCCTGTAGTGACAGTATACAAACATTTTCTATGGCAGTGCCTGTAGTGACGGTATACCAACATTTCTTAACTATGACATTACATGTATTGACGGTATACCAACATTTTCTAACTATAACATTGCCTGCAGTGACGGTATACCAACCTTTCTTAACTATGCCATTACATGTATTGACGGTATACAAACATTTTCTAACCATGGTGTTGCCTATGGTGGTAGGATAAAACATTCCCTATGACACCTCCTGTGGAGAGAATGTGTGTTGAGTATTCCCTGCTTTCTGCTGTTCTGTGCCAGGGTGTTGTAGCAGAGTCGCATCCCCCCGCCTTTTTGGATCGAAGAAGGCGTAAAATTACCTACATTATATTTTGTTGACTTAAGAAGCCACAAAAAGAACTCTAAGTATCCAGCCTGCTCGGAGAAAAAAAATGATCACCCAAAGATCAAATAAGAATTAATGTTTTATCTCGACAAGGTGGAGCAAAGAATGGCAAAGTTCTGCTTGTGAGAGTGGATATCATTACAAGAGGAAACAAGGATTTTATGTGGTCTCTTTTAAGCCCAAGGGGGATATCCCGAAAAGGCTGTTTTGAGAAAATCGAAGGTAAAGTTATGATTTTTTAAATTATTATTATTATTATTATTATTATTATTATTATTATTATTATTATTATTATTATTATTATTATTATTATTATTATTATTATTATTATTATTATTATTATTATTATTATTATTATCACCATCATCGTTGTCTGGACGCTGTGAGGGTGAGTATACACACATACACTCACACCCAGTCCTCCCCTGACATACATACACATACACCCCTTGTTTAATTTCTTTAAAAGACAAGGAAAGTTTTCTCTATAACCAAAGAAATATACACATCAATGAAACCAAACTTATCCTATAGGTAGGGCAATGCCCACTTTTGGTGTAGGTCAAGATTTCTGGAAACCCCCGAAATCTGGGTTAGCCCGCTTATCCTTAAAAGCGACCCTTTTAACAAATTGCATGTACATGTAGATCTAGTTCTTTTTTAATGGAAATGTTTTGTTTGTGACAGTTGGAATATTTCACTTAAACAGACCAGATGCTTCCCTTTTACAAGTTACATTTTATTGTGACAGGAAAAACGGTTACATTTTGTTTGTATAAATTGAACTTCATAGACAGAAACACCATATGTTCTACTATACCAGTTGCATGTACTAAAGGGAAAAATAGACATAATAAAATCTTATTGTTATAAATTCGAATTTCAAAAACAAAAACAGACACAATTTACTAATACTAAATTAGAATTACTCCTGAAAAATAAATCACATTTAATTTATACAAATTAGTTATAATTACTGAAAAACAGAAATTTAGAATTACGAAAGGAGAAAAACAATCCTATTTTTTCTGAAACAAATTAAAATCACCAGGCGGAAACAGGGGTTTAACTTTTACAAGGTTTAGAAATGAACATGAAAAACTGGGGGAATTCCGTGTCTTTCAGTTGGAACTTTAGAAATTGAAAACCGAGAAAATTCCACTGTTTGGGTTAAAATTTTCGAAATTGTCGATAAAAGCAAACAGTCTTGATAAGATTATTATCAAACAAACTGCGGTAAATAGATTAGAGAACAAAATTAGTGCATAAAAATGGCAGCTTGCACTGTACGGTTCCCAGGAAGTTGAGATTTTTTCAGAATGCTATCAAGTCTGTTGGAGTAATAATATAGGTTGTAAAGCGCACAGAGCTTGCTATTGAGCGGGAATTTGCGCAATGCAAATGCTACCTATTTTTATATTTTTATCCCATTTTTATCTATAAATACTGTGTCAATGGGAACGTAAAACCACCTATTTTTAATATTGAAAAATATCTTTATCATAATCAATATCATACTATCATCACCAGAAGTCACAAGTCACCACCACCACAAGTCACTAGTCACCACTACCAGAAGTCACCGGTCATCAACAAAAGTCCCCAGTCATCACCAGAAGTTACCAGTCATCATCATCCGTCACCAGTCACCAGTCACCATCACCAGAAGTTACCAGTCATCACCACAAGTCTCCAATCATCACCACCAGAAGTCACTAGTCATCACCAGAAGTCACTAGTCATCACCAGAAGTCACCAGTCATCACCGCCACAAACCATCAGTAATCATCACCAGCAGTCACCAGTCATCACCCCCAGAAGTCACCAGTCATCACCACCAGAAGTCACCAGTCATCACCACCAGAAGTCACCAGTCATCACCACCAGAAGTCACCAGTCATCACCACCAGAAGTCACCAGTCATCCCTCCACAACCGATCACGTGACCTGCACTGACCATGCCCAGCCCAGGCACACGTCACCAGTCACGAAACCGTCTCCTGGTGGTGGTCAGCCTGCTGTCCAGTGTGCTGACGTCAGTGTCCGGCCTGAGGTTCAGCTACGGCCTGGAGAGTGGCGACTCAGAGGTCACAGGTGACGCCTCCAGCCTGAGCCCGCTCCCACGCGGTCAAACGCTGGCTTACTATGGGCTGACCCTGAACGCTGTGCGGGTGAGTACATACACACATACACTCACACATACATACACACATACACACACACATATACAAACATGCACACACACATATACACACAAACACGTCATAATACACACCCATACACACACACACACACGCATACACACATACACACACACACAAACATACACACATAAACTCACACGCACACACTCACACGCACACATTCACGCTGCCTTTCTATGGGCCTAGCTACTACTGTGTACGTGGAGTGATAATGTTAATAATAATAATAGTAATAATAATAATAATAATAATAATAATAATAATAAC